ATTCTTTTTTCCTAAGGATGCCTTGGCCTAGTATCACTTCTTGGTATGGATTTCTTTATTATTCCTGTGGGTTCCATCAGTCACTTTTACAGGTCTTACTTTCAGAGGAGTGTCCCAGATGCCTGACAGTGAGGTGAATTAAATCCGCCTCAGAGAAATTAAAACTCCTGTCCAGTCCAGGCTTTAGAATGGTCATTAGCACAGTTAAATAATCACACATGGGAGGGTGTTAGAGACCATTTCTAATTCAATTTACCTCCTCAGATTACAGCATACTGCATTAGGGGGACTTCTAGGGAATCCTAATAGTTTCCCTATAATGGAGTCATTACTGTAGCTGGGTCCTTACATCCCAGCCAGGTTTGAGCTAATGAATAGATGACTACCCATTTGGTGTTGTTTCAGGAACACTAGAAAGGCCTGATGGTCTCTCCTACCTAGTGGCTAATTTCTGAAATTATACCATTAGACCTTAATGTAAAGCCACCTTTGTGATACAGAGGGTAAGATGCTGGACCTCCAGGAAGACCTGAGTTCAAATCTGGCTCAGACACTTGCTAGCTGTGTGACAATTGGTAAGCCACTTAACCACGGTCTGCCTCCATTTTCTTTTCTGTAAAATAGGGGTAATAATAGAACCTTTCTCTCAGGGTTGTTTTGAGGATCTAATGAGATAATATTTGTAAAGGACATTACAAATCTTGAAACATTAGCTGTTACTTATCTCAGTTACTGGAGAGATGCCCTGGGAGGGACAGTGCTTGAACCTGTTTTAGCAAAGAAGGTCAAGCGAGTCAAGAGGGCTAGATTCTAATCAGTTGGAACAAAGACTCTTTCCTCACCCCTCCCTTTTTCATTTTGTATGTGCTTATTTTTGCTCTCCAGTCTACAAGGCCACCAAGACCAGATTCATCTTTTTTAGATGTTGTTTTGGACATTTCAGATCCCCTCCTCGATAATCTTTCAGGGTTTGCTATCGCCTACACAAAGAAGGCCTCCTCCTTGGCCTAGCATTCAAGGCCTTCCATCATCAAACAGAATAATGCATAGGGAGTGTTTTCCAAACCTTAACATTCTTTATAAATGTTGCTTATTATGACCAAATTCCGGTTTACCTTTTCCAGCTTCATCTCTCATCAGTGCCCTATCTGGGTGATTTAAGCATTGTCTTCCAAGTGCCCATTATAAATTCTGGCCTCCATGCCTTTGGGCAGACCATCCCCTTCTCAGTAGGAAACTCTTATCACTCCTCTCTAGCATTCTACCAATTCTTCAAAGCCCTGGTTAAGTCACACCTCTCCCAAGAAGCCTGTCCCAACTATCTTTCTTTCCTAGGATCTACTCTAGCACATTTGTTCCTGTGTCTTCCTGAGTAAAATCCTTTTGGAGGATAGGGGCTATGATATCCTTTGTGTCTCTGTATCTCATATATCGTCAGTGCCTTGCACACTGGGATAGAGACTAGGACCAAACCTGTGATTTCAATGATATTGGTAACTGTTGGATGAGAACACTCACTTATTCAATGCAAGTCAGCACCTTCTCTGCTACTTATATTCGTAGAGAATTGCCTCGAGCACTGAGAGAGAGATTAAGTGAATTGTCCAGAGTCACATGGCTAGGACATGTCTGCTTGATTTGAAATCAGGTCTTTTTGGCTTCAAGGCCAACTCTCTCTGCACTGGGCCATGCTGCCTCTTGCTTTACATGTAATAGAGGCTTAATATGTGATTATAAAAGTGCATTATGCTGACTAGCTGCATGATCTTAGACAAGTCACTGTACCTCAATTTCCATATTTGTAAAGTGAAGTAAGTTGGGCTAATTATTATCTTTCCATTCTTTTCCAGCTATAACTTTCAATGATTTATACTGTAGTGTGGAATAGTAAAGCAAGTTTTGATATTCATTCATTCAATAATCATTTATAAAGCACCTACTATGTGCCAGGTACTCTACTAAGCTTATAGTGGACACGAGGGACATAAGAGAGGATACTGGGCATGTGTATCTGTAAGATTCATTGTAACTGATATTTATACAATGCTTTGCATAACACTTTATGTAGATGATCTCATTTATGGGAGGGATGGGTAAGAGCCAGGGGAGGGTGTGTGAAAGAAGAAATTGGGAGTAGGGAGAAAGGAAGAGGGGGAGATGGAAGGACACAGTCAGAAAGGATGGGGGCTACAACCTCATGGACTTCACATTTTTGTCTAGAGTTGGCCCTGCCAATAATAATAGCCACTCACATTTACACGGGAAGTGTGTCAAAGTTTAAGAGGCAGAGTGTTCCAGCTTGGAAACCAGGAAGACCTAGGTTCAAATTCCACCTCTGACATAACTCAGCTGTGTGATCATGGGCCATTCACTTAATTTTTGGTTGCCTCAATTACACCTACCTCGAAAGGTTGTTATGAGAATCAATTGAGTTAATATTTGTAAATATTACTATTAAATAATAATATTTATTACTAGTTAAATATTAGCACAGCAACTGGCACATAGTAGATGCTTAATAAATGCTTGTGCTCTAGGGAACTCTATAAATGGCAGTAGAGTTCCTCATCCTCTTTTGTATCTGTCTCCTCTCAGTTCTCGAGGCTGCCACCCTGCTACGGGCCCTTATCACCTCACACCTAAACTATTGTAATGAGCTTTGGTTAGACTCCCTGTCTCGTCTCTTCCCCACTCCACTTCATCTGCCACTCAGCTGCCAGAGTGATTTGCCTAAAACATCACTCCCTTACTCAATAAACTCCAGTGGCTCCCTATGGCCTCTAGTATCAAATATGAAATGCTCTATTTGGCATTTAGAGCTCTTTATAATCTCGCCCCTTCCTTACCCTTCCAGTCTTATATTTGACTCTCCTCCACTGCAGCTCATTGGCTCACTATTCCCTACACAAGAAACACTATCTCCTACTCCTATGCCTTTTTACCAGATGTACCTCATGCCTGGAATATTGTTCCTCCTCACTTTCACTTCCTGGATTCCCTGGTTTCCTTCAAGGTGAAGCTCAAAGCTCATCTTCTGTAAAAGGACTTTGCAGCCCCCCAGCTGCTAGTACTCTGAGATTACCTTCTACTTACAGTATACATATCTTGTGTGTCCTTAATTATTTGTATGTTTTCTCCTCCATGAGACTGTGAGGAGACTCCATGGGACTGTGTTTTTGTCTTTCTTTGTATCCTCAGCACTTAATACAGTGCGTGGTGCAGGGGTGAGGAACCTGCAGCCTCAAGGCCATCTGTGGCCCTCTAGATCCTCAAGTCCAGCCCTTTGACTGAATCCAAACTTCACAGAACAAATTCCCTTAACAAAAAGATTTGTTCTGTAAAACTTGGACTCAGTCAAAAGGCCACACCCAAGGACCTAAAAGGCCACATGTAGCCTCGAGGCCGCAGGTTCCCCACCCCTGGGCCCTGGTGCGTAGTAAGCGTTTAATAAATTTTTGTTGTTGTTGAGTCACATCAGTTGTGTCTGACTTTTTGTGACTCCATTTTGGGGTTTTCTTGGCAAAGATATGGGGTAGTTTGCCATTTCCTTTTCTGGCTCATTTTACAGATGAGGAAACTGAGGCAAACAAAGTTAAGTGACTCGCCCTTGTAGGGTCACACAGCTAGTAAGGATCAGAGGCCAGATTTGAACTCAGGAAGTTGAGTCTTCCTGATTCTAAGCCCAGTGCTCTATCTGCCTTCACTTAATAAATGCTTGTTGACTATTGATGGACTGACCTGAGAATTCTCTATTCCACTGAAATTACATAGGCATAGACCCTGTCCCTACTAAGGCTCACAACACCTTTTCCTCACAACAATCCTGTGAGTATAGGTACAGCAACTCTTATTATCCCTCTTTTGCAGAGAAGGCAACTGCGGTTGCTTTCCTTGTCCAAGTTCTTACAACTTGTAAGTATGAGAGCTGGAATTTGATCCCGGGTCCTCTCACTCCAAAAACAATACCCGTTTCTTTACACGAGGCTAGAGATGATCGTTGGAATACCTCTAACCCCATGCTCCTTTCACACTAACATTTTTAAAAACGGATTATGCAAAGAAAATGGCGGACATAGCTAACTAGAATTTAGCAGTGATGATGAAAATGAGACTCAAGGAAGTGGACCATTTTGGGTCAATGGCAGACAATGTCATTTGTGTCTTAGAATTTGTGTTTTCTACTCATGAGCATCACTGAGAAGGGGAAAAAGAGAAAGGTCCATATGGAATGTGCTGAAATATCTTGATCTATACTCTTCCAACTCCTAATGATTTGTTGGATCCCTCCTATTTATCCTTATTGACCTGGAAGGTGTGATGTTATATTTGTTAACTTTATATCCATTGAGTTGGGGAGGGGCAGACATAAAGGGTGGTTCATTTAAAGTCAGTTCAACATTTATCAAGCAACTATAAGGTACAATGCATTGTGTGTTAGAAGCGGGAGAAACCACAAAGATGAATACAACTTGGTTCCTGCCCTTAGGAAACACAGTCTGATAGTCACATTTTTCATTCTCTACCTCTGGCCCTCACTTGGACTTTCTTTTCTCATACACAGATACATATCTCTTTTACGTAGATGTGTTCTATATCAGAGGGAGTTATATGGGCTCAGAAGTAAATAGAATAGGCATGCCTTGAGTGGCTTTGGGAAACCCACCCTGCTCCCCCAATCTCTACTACCCAGATGCCACTATGCCTGAAGTTTCACCATTACTTATTCAATCCGTTGGTCCTCTTTTAAAGTGGAATAATTGTAGAAGGTTAAATCTTTAACGCTCTTAATTGTCAGCAGTTAGTTTTCTTCTTGGCAGTAGGGCCTTGGGGTGGTGGGGAGAGATATCTGTCTTGAGTATCTATAGAGGAGAGATTAAGAGGCTGCTCCAAAAGGACAAATGGGGGTTGCTGAAGACTAAGGTTTCCTGCTTCATGGTTTCCCCTAGGGTCTGTATCACTTGGATAAGTGATGATCAGTGTTTCACTTTTCTCTCCCTTAGGCGGTGGCGTCATTCCTTCTGCTATGATGCCAGGGCAGATCCCAGACCCTTCCTTGACAGCAGGCGCCTTGCCAGGGCTTGGTCCCTTGACTGGACTCCCTGGCACCGCTCTGACAGCAGAGGAGCTGAAGTACGCTGACATCCGTAACATTGGTGCCGTGATCTCACCCTTACATTTCCTGGAGGTGAAATTGGGAAAGAGGCCTCAGCCAGTGAAGAGTGAGGTGAGTGGGTCTCCCCTTCTGCCTGCCTCCCCCTTACCTCTGGAATGTTGTTCCATCTCAGGAGTTAAGTATGATGAGACCTAGGTTCTCATCTTAATTCTTATCACTAGCTGACTAGGAAGTCATGTAATGGATCTATCTTTGTCCCAGGCTTCTCATCTGTCAAATGGGGATGTTAATATTTGATTTGCCAACCTCCCAGAGGCTCAAATGAGAAAATGGTTATGAAAGTGCAGTGAAAAGTACAGATTATGGAGGCTTATTATCATCCCCATCAACATCATCACAGCTACCACTTAATGCTAGGCAGGTACTGACCCAGTGGATACAATGCTGTGTGCCAGTGTCCTGTACCACCACCCCCAGCCCTCAGGCATCAGTTGAATCACTGTAACTTTGTCATCCTCAGATAGTGTTTACTAAGTACCCACGTGTGGCTAGAGTAAGTGCCATCTGTGACAAAGGATTTCAAGACTTTTTATTTCAAGAGAGCAGTATTGTTCCAGAGATTGATTAGAACTGGAGGCCTAATGAGCTACCTCCTGGTCCCATTGATTTTTTTTTTAACACCTACTTACTATAATCTCTCTGCTTCCCTGCACCCACCCCCAGAATCATAATTTAATACCCTATTATGTCAGGCCATACTAGGAACAGGGGAAATTTATCCTGGAGAAGAAAAAGATTTAAAGGGCTACCAATTTGAAGAAAGATTAGATTGTTTTGCATGGACCTGGAGGGAAGAACTAGGAGCGGTATAGAGACCTATTGGAGTGGGGTTTCAAATAGTCATAAGAATCAATTTTCTAGTAGAGGTGTTAGATGATGGAATGGGTTGACTCAGAAAAAATTGAAGGACTACTTTATGAGTATTTTGTAGAAAAGATCTCTGATTTGGATATGGTTTAATTAGATGATCTTCACGGATTCTTCCAACAATAGGAATTTGTGAAATTTTTTAAAAGTTTTTTTTTATACTATGCCTAGATGCATGGATGTTCTGATTCAGTGGGTATCTCCCCATGAAGGAAAGAGGCAGCAGGAGATAAAGGTTTTAGGGTATTTAGGGCAGATCTAAAGTTAGGTTTGATAGGCACTCATACACCATTGAAAAGTTAACAAAAGTCAACAACAATTAATAGTTTTTAGTATGTACTAGGCACTGTGTTTATCACTAAAATTTATTCAGTCATAATCTAACAAAAATATTCAATAAGCATGTACTAACACTTTATTTCAGTGGATGTCTGTTTCCCCTGTTTGTCTCCAAATGGAGTCATATCTGGTCAGCAGGGCAGGATGTGGAGACTTGTCTCAGAACATCTAATAAGTCAAAGGTCACAGATCCCACATGGATGGGACTTTTTGTTCCCATAGGTGGCCAGGAAGGCATGTCAATATAGCCAGAGGCTATCAGGAAGTTGTTATCAAGGGAGGCACAGGTTGAGTTTTACCCCATGACTTGATTGCCTTTTAGGGAAAAATCTAACCTAACCCATGTTGTGGCCTCTTTAGGGGCTAGGGAACAACAGGGAAGAGATACTCTGGTAGATACTGGCCTTATAACATAAGGGCAAGACCAAGCTGGAGGTGATCTTGGTTCAAATACTACTTTTGACCCATATTAGCTATGTGAAGAGAGCAAGGCATTGAAGCTCTTAACTTCCTAGGCAACTCCCTAAGACTCTAAGTTACAGATATGTTACTATATCTGCATTAGTGTATAGAACTTGCAGTTTGGAAATCTCCCCACCAATGAAATCTCAAGTCTGATTTCCCTTCCTAAGAAAAGAGGTATAACTATAATATTTTTTAAATTATTTATTTTTAATAATGTAATAACGGGCAGCTAGGTGGTACAGTAGATAGAGTGCCGGGCCTGGAAGCAGGAAGACCTGAGTTCAAATCAGGCCTCAGACATTTATTATCCGTGTGACCCTAGTCACTTAACCCTGTTTGCCTCAGTTTCTTCATTTGCAAAATGAACTGGAGAAGGAAATGGCAAACCACTCCAATATCTCTGCCAAGAAAACCCCAGAGAAGCCATGAAGAGTCAAACATGATTGAAATGACTGAAAAACGATAACAAATTGTGTGGTTTTGTTTTGCTCTTCACAGAGCAGTGCTGTAATCTATTCTAAACTAGTAATTGTGATACTTAGTTTCTCATCCTGACCCCACCAGCTTTGTGATTTAGGGCAAATCATTTACATTTTGGGCCTATAGTTTTCTTATCTGTAGTATTAAGAGGTCGGGCATGGCATAGGAGAGTAAATGTTTAACAACTGACTTTCTGGAAAAAATAGCACACTTCTAAGTTTTATTTGTACTATTAATATTTTATCACTTTCTAAAGTCTAGACAATCAACAAAACTATAAATCAGGTCCTGATTTGTAGCATTCACTGATTTCTGAAATGTAAATGTTCATAGAAAATTAAACAATTGACTCTCAAGAGCCAGGATACCTCTGGATAAAGTGTTTTATTCGAACTCAGGAAGATTAGTTCAGTTGTCTTTAAGTCAAGCTTGACTCTCCATGACCCCATTTGTGATTTTCTTGGCAAAGATACTGGAATGATTTGCTATTTCCTTCTCCAGCATATTTTACAGAAGAGGAAACTGAGGCAAACAAGGCTAAGTAACTTATCTAGGGTCACACAGCTAGTGTCTGAGGCTGGATTTGAACTCAGGAAGATGAGTTTTACTATTCCAGGCACAGCACTCCTAGCTGCCCAGAAATCAGGACAATTGGGTTCACATTTGGCCCCTGACAATTAAGTAGCATTGTGACCATGCCCAAATCTCTGAGCATCAGTTTCCTCATCTGCAAAATAGGGATAATAAAACCAGTACTATGTATCGCATAGTGTTGTTGTGAGTCACAGATGAAAGAATATATCTAAAGTGCTTTGCAAAACTTAAGGTTTTATGTAAAGTTCAGTTATTATTTCTTCTTCCCATTCCCTAAGCTGAACTGTTATCTATTGTACATTATATAATGCTCTATATAATAGCTATTGAAAGCATTAAAGACTAGAATTTTAGGCACCTGAAGGTGCCATGTATAGAATGTTGGACCTGGAGTCGGGAACAACTTGAGTTCAGATCCTGACTTGGACTCTTTCTAGCTGTGTGACCTTGGGCAAGTCAATTAACCTCTCTCAGTCCCATTTTTCCTCATCTCTAAGGGGAGGATAATATTAGTAACTATCTCATAGGATTGCTATGAGTTTCAAATGAAATAATAAATGTAAAATGCTTTAGAAACCTAAAGTACTATAAAAATGCCAGCTGTTATTATTATTATCATTATTTTAGGAAGGGAAATTATATTACAGAATCAATATGGAGTCAGATTTTTAGGGCACAGTTTTGCTCAAACTGGAATTTGTCTAGGACACCCAACTTAATACCACCTACCCCTTTCCACTCTGGAAAAAGGCGCTAAAGAACCTTTCCTTTTTAAAGAAAAAACTTTTTTTTAGTTTGGGTATTTTTATACTTTACAGCCACCCAAAAAAATTGGTGGCATATGTCCTGTACCTGATAATGACGTCCTGTCTTCACAAGGACCCATAAAAATCTGCCATTGAAATGAGTCCGTGAGAAAAAAAAAGAAGCCATTTTTAGGGCATATTTGCATATCTTCCCCCTCACTGTCTGGTTTCAGTTTTCTGAGGAGTCAGGAAGATGTAGAATATTGTGCTGGTCTCTGGCCAGGACACTGTCAAGACAGCAGCACATTCTTCCTTAAGTGCTCTACTTAGTAGGTTTGCATGGTAGAAGGCAAGGTGTGAGAAGATTGGAAAGGTAGGAGGAGGCCAGGTTATGAAGGGCTCTCAAAGTCAGAGGATTTTTTTATTTGGTATATTTTTATTATATGTAATATACATATATATATATGTGTGTACACACACACACACATATATATGTAGTTTTATATTTGATACTAGAAGTAATAGGGAACCACTGGAGTTTATTGACTAAAGGGATGATATTGTAAGACCTGTGTTTTAGAAAAATCAATTTGATAGCTGAATACAGGAAGGATTGGAGAGTCTTGAGGAAGGGAGATCAATCAACAAACTATTGCAATAGTCCAGGCATGAGGTGATGAAGACCTATGCCAGGGTGGTGGCCTTGTCAGAGAAGAGAAGGGGCATATCCAAGAGATGTTAACAAAGGTAGAAGTGACAGAATTCAGCAACTCATTGGATGTGAAGAGAGAGAGAGAGAGAGAGAG